TTGAATTTCTGCCCGTTGGTAATATATTACAGTTGGGAGATTGGTGGTCCTTTGGGAGCGGTAAGCTCACCACGGTGTTGTTATACAAGGTTTCTCAGTCTCTCTCTTGTGCATACAAATATTGGAAGTTGGAAAAAATATAAAAAGGGGAAATGATTTCTTGATTTCATAGTGTTGAAACAAACATGTAGAAAAAGAAACTTTGTTTTCAATCCATTGATTTCACTGTGAAACAAACAAAAAAAAATCAAATCTGGGAAACCCCAATGAAATGTCAAGAAATGGTTTCCTTTCTATATTTCTGTTTTCCTTTTTTTCTAGAAATGTACCAAACAGACCCTTAGTCGAACTTTGATAATCTAGCTTAGTCCCATTCGTAACCATGTGTATTTTAAAAAAACTAATTGATCAAGACAGCCGTTAACCACTAGAGATTTTACGTAAAACTAAGATATACTATATTTATTAGTCGTGACATGAAAATTCACAATGTTTTTATAATTTGACCCAACAATCACGAGTTTTGCAAAACATAAATGAAAGTTCATAATAATTCACAAGCAATTCATTTTTTATATTTTAAGTTTACGCTTTATGCTAGTTAAATGTCTGCAGTATTTCTCTCTCATAAAGGACAGTACGGAAATTTTGAATAAAACCATAAAAAACATGATACATATTCTACTAGAACACATTGTATATAAGTGATATGTTCCAAACTATTAAAAGTGACGATGAAATATCGGCACTGCACATCCAATTTCTCTAAAATACTCAGAACGCTCTGATACATGTGTGATATTTTCTTAGAATCTGTACTGAGTAATACACGTTAGCTTAGTAAAGTTTACCTTATTCTGAAATAATCCATATCAGAAAGGATAAAACTTTGCGTAGAATCAAGAATGCATTAGAAAAGTTACAAGGTCTATAAAGAATAAATCGAAACGTATGCTTGAATATTGCGAGATATCGTCCGATTTCATTGATGTGCAAGGATTCTTAAGAATGGACGGGTGATCTACTTCCTACAATCAAAAACAGCTCCCACGGAGCATTTTACCGCACCCAAAAGCAACACCTGCCCACCCACCCACCTATCGGCCGACCCGGCCTAATACCGACCTGCTTTCTCTATCTCCGACAAATCTTATTCCACCACTCACGGGAAAAAGGGCGTCGGCGCTGGCTCCTATAAATACCCCCTTCCCCCTCTCACTGCTCTCTCCTAACCACAAAAAACCCTAGAATTTGCGAATATGTGTGATTCCTGTCTCGTCTCTCTCTCTCTCTCATCCAAAGCCTAACCCTAAACTATTTGGTCACTTAGCCGCTTCCCCATCTTCGGGGCTAGGGAGACTCTGCTAAATGGTTGGGGTTGGGAACCCCGACCATTTAGACTTGGGCAACCGCATGCGCTGCCAAATGGTCGGGGTTGCGAACCTTGACCATTTTATGTGGGACAGGAACTCAATCTAAATGGTCGGGGTTGGGAACCCGACCAAATTAGTCGGGTTTCACGACCCCGACTTGTTTAGGTGTCCTAATCTACCAAGTGGGGATGGACAATTCTATTTAGTCAGGGTCGTCAACCCCGACTAAGTAGAAAGCCGATTTTTTTTAAATCGACCCACTTTCTAGCCATGATACTGACGTGACCAGAAACTGTGTTGATTTTTATAATAAAAACCAGAGTGGGTCGATTTTTAAAGAAGTTTAGATTTGGTCTTTTCTAAAAATTTCTTCAAATACTATCCTTAAATAATAATGGATTCTCGCTAGTGGGCAAGAAAAGTTAACAATGGGCTCCAGATTATTTGTCATTTTCAACTGCTAAATAATAACTCAAGTACTCCACCTATTATCTATGAATTATCCTTTTAACAAGGACAATTAGTCCTTCGAGTGGGGTCCATTGATACTTATATTATCCTAAACTGAGAAGAGATGCACGTACTTTAATCATTTTGTACACATGCACGGTGCACCTCTTGTTAAACGAAGTTTGATAATCTAGTTTAGTCCCATTCGTGACCATGTGTATTTTAAAAATGCAAATTGATCGAGACAGCCGTTAACCGCTAAAGATTTTACGTAAAACTAAAATATACTATATTTATTAGTGGTGACATGAAAATTCACAATGATTTTATAATTCTACCAAACAATCACGAGTTTTGCAAAACATAAATAAAAGTTCATAATAATTCACAAGCAAATTTTTTTATTTTTAAGTTTATGCTTTATGGTAATTAAATGTCTGCGGTATTTCTCTCTCATAGAGGACAGTACAAAAATTTTGTATAAAACCATAAAAAACGCAATACATATTCTATCAAAACACATTGCATACAAGTGATATGTTCCGAACTATTAAAAGAGACAAGGAAATACTAACACTGTGCATCCTATTTCTCTAAATAACGCTCTGATACTTGTGTGATATTTTCTTAGGGGGGTTAGTCACCTAGAACTTTTTAAGTAGAACTGAGATAATTGGTAAAGTGAGATAATTTTTTGACACTGGGATAATTTAGTGGAACAATGATGGATAATTGGTAATGTGGGATAATTTGGTAGGATAATTTGGTGGGATAATGATGGATAATATTATGAAGTTGTATAATTTGGTAGGATAATTTGGTGGGGGTAATGGAGGGTATAAATTACTATTGTTATAATTGTATATTAAAAATAATATAATATTGATAAGCAAATTCTAGTAATAACTATAAAATATAATGCAATAAAGCATCACTATTCATCTCAAATAATAAAAAAATTTACAAATAAATAAAAATCTAAATCCCTAGAGTGACTCGACTTCCATCATCCCACATGGCTTCTATCATCCCACATGGCATCTGTCATAGAATTTCTCCAAGCTCCTACAGCTGCTTGTTAAGTCTGTAACTCGTCTTCTTTATTGGAGTCATCGTCTGCATTAGCAACATTTCGTGGAGCTTCTAGTGGAGGATCATAAATATCGAAGTTCAAATCTCATAACATCATAAAAAAAGAAAAATAAGCATTTTTCAGCCATTAACCCTTTGGACCAATCTCATCATGTTCGCTGAAACCAAATCAGCAAATAAATGAAATGTACACAGGAATCATCCATGGCCGCTAAACAGATGATCGATAGATGAACTATAAATATCCCAATCAATTTACTGAGCCGATTTAATAATAATAGATATCACCATTAACCATTCAACATCTAATCATCAATGTGATCACAAAGTTGCTTTCTAACTTATAAAAAAACATAAATAGCCCGCATAACTTTAGCATTAACCCACCAACACTATATTCTTAACCTAAACCATTGTTGTGGAGAGAAAACTTAGATCAAACAAACAATAATAAAGTAATTTAACGTCAAAAGCTATCAATAAAGTAATACATCTTGAAGATAATAATAAAAGATCTAATCATCAAAAAAACAAAGTAAAGACAGAAAAATGAACGGATGATTGACTTCATGGCAGAGAAATTTTCTAGGCAGAAAAACTAACCAAGAGGGAGGGAGGCGGCGTTTCACTTTTTTTTTCCCAATTGTATTCTTTCCAATGTGTGGGATAATTTGAGAGAGGAGAACTTATGGTTATATATATAGGTAGTATAATTTGTGGGATAATTATGACCAATTATCCCAATTCTAATTCTAGTAGAATTCTACTTGACTAACGCACCAAAAAAATAATACAGTTCTAGTTCTACAAAAGTTCTACTTGACTAACACTATAAAAAAATATCCCATTTTCTAGTTCTATTTGACTAACACCTTAAAAATTTATCCCACAAATTATCCCAGTTCTAGTTTTAAGTTCTAGATGACTAACCCCCTGTGCTGAGCAATACAAGATAGCTTAGTAAAGTTCACCTTATTCCGAAATAATCCGGATCAGAAAGGATAAAACTTTACATAGAATTAAAAATACGTTAGAAAAGGAGGTGAACTTATGTCAACTTAAAGTGGACAAGAGTCATTTGTCCACGAAACTTATTTGCACTTAGTATAATAGTTAATGATATATATATATATATTAGTGATTATATATATATGAAAATAGGAGGTTAAGGCTAGCAGCTGCACCTCTCCCAGTGAGCTTGCAAGTTAATCGACATGTGAGCCCAACAGCGATGTGATAGTAAGTGGGCGACATGCTATACACTCAACTACGGAGCGAGTGAAGCTGCAGCTCACTCCATTTGTCTTATATAGTATAATATATATTATAGTATATATATATTAATATATATATATATATATATATATTATATATTATATATTAAGCCTGTCATGTATGCGATCCGCTAAGAGTATCATCAATGGATATAAATTAGGAGTGGATGATCACCTTAAGTTGAGCATAAAAATTTCTCTTAGAAAAGTAAACAGGTCTATAAAGAATAAACTCGAACGTATACTTCGAATATTCGAGATATCGTCCGATTTCATCAATGTGGCAAGGACCTTAGGAATGGACGGCTGTCTGATCTTTCGTACAAGCAGTAAGCACTTCCGCGGAACATTTTGTTTTATCCGCGCCAAAGAGCACACCTGACACACCCCAGACCGACTATCAGCCGGACACCGGCCCAATAAGGACGCCTTTCTTCTATCTCGCACAAACAAATCCCTCACCGTCAACGGGAAAAGAGCGACGGCGCCGGCTCGCGGTATAAATGCGAACCTCTTCGCCCCCCCCCCCCCTCACATGCACTCGTCCTACCATAAAAAACCTGGAATTTCGAATTTATGCGATCTAGTTCTCAGGTCTCTCTCTCATCCCGAGCCCTAAAACCTAGATTATTACCATCCCTTTACTCTCCGATCTCGATTCCAGCTTCTTGAATGAGTCGAGGTCTTTGGCGAATCGATCCGTGCTTGAAGCCGAGATCGAGGCTCTGGCGTTACGGATCGATGGCGGTGGTGGGTACGGCGGCGTAGAAGGAGGATCGCGGCGAGGAGGTTTGGATCCGGTCGCAGAGAGATGCGGTGTTGCCACGGTACACGGCCGTTCGTCGTTTGCTTGGCTGCCGGGAGACTGGAGGTCGAGGTTTTCCGGCAGTACATTGCGCAGGACGTGCATTTTCTCAGGGCTTTCGCTAGCGCGTGAGTGATCCCGATCTTTATTTTGTTATTTGTGTTGATTCCGATGCTGCTTAGCTCATTGGTCATTTATCTCTATATTTTGTCTCTTACATTGTTCCTGATAGTTATTTTGATGTTATTTTGTGGTTTTACAGCTAAATTTTGAGTTCTTGATGAAATTGCGGCTGGGGTTTAGGATCAGTGTTAATCTGGATCTTGAATTGTAATTATCTTGTTACTAATAAGTAGATTGTTATTTGGGAGGATGATTTCTCTTAATAAATATTCTGAGAGTGTTCTTGATGGTATTTAAATGAGTCAGATTCGACTTAATGAAATTTTAGCAAGGGAAATATTCTTAGATGGTTCTTGATGGTATTTAGATGAGTCTTGACTTCTTAGTGAAATTGTAGCTAACATTAGAAATATGGGTTGAGCTTTCGGTAGTTTGCACTGTAACTATGCACTTACTATGGATTCGAGCTTGTTAGAATATTTTATTAATTATAGCATTCTTGATTGTCTTTACATTTATTTTCAGTGTTCTTTTGTGGCTGGTTGTGCAAGTGAGCAGCTAGGATTCAGGATCATGAACTGATCTCGTATTAGTTGGGATCTTGCGCTGTACTCATCTAGTTATTCATGAGTAGTTTATTTGGATGGATGCTCTACAGATAGCATTTCTTTTAGAAAATATACTGTGATGGTTCCTAATGGTCTTAAGTGTCATATTTCAGTTCTTGATGTAGTTGTAGCTATGGTTGAGGGCATGAGCTAGCAAAGTGTTAATTGAGCATCTTGTTAGCGAGGTAAAAAGTTTGTTAGTGAGGTAGAATGTGTCTTAAGGCATCGATGGTGCTAGGTGAGCTCGACACCTTACTGAAATGGGGCAAATATGTTTTAAGCATTTTCGAGATAGTTTATTTATCTATACTACTTATAAAATAGGATTGTGGTGTTAAAACTTTTGAATGTCTCTTTTACCCTTCCAAAATTTGATAATTCACAATAATGCCTTGAAATTTATTCAATTCATTCTATTTATTACACTATAATTATTCTTGCAATAAACATGAGAACTAATACTAAAAACTAAATATATATTGTAAATTTTAATGATAAATTTTATTCAATTCGTTCTGTTTATTACACTAATTAGTCTTGCACTAAACATAAGAATTGATATATTATAAATTTTAACCATATTAGTCTTATGTTAAATAAGATAAATATTTCACTTTAGATATTAGATATTATACAATAAATATACAATTTTAATATATAAGATAATAATATCATATATTATACAATAAATATATAATTTATATATATAAGATAATAATATCATAATTTAAGATAATTTAATATTTAATTAAACATCTAACATCTAATCTAATACAATAATATATTGATATGTGCATCTGATGTATAAAAAATTCGTGTACTAATATGTTAACGTCTTGGTGTAGTCTAGAAATAGCATATAAATTAGCATAATATATATTACTAACTATTGCAATATATTTATCATAGTATTTGGATACAAGGTAACTCTAAGCATGCGGAATTCTAAGCGGTGTGAGAAGCTATTACATTTGCTCTTGAAAATGGATGTGGGAAGGTAATTTTTAAAGAAGATGCGGATGCGGTAATTAGAGATATCCGTAATGTGTGAAGCAACACTTGATTTTTGGACACTCTGTGGATGATATTTAGCGATGTTACACATGACTAGAGGAATGGGATTTTCAGGTAGTTTATCAAATGGGGAATATAAAGGCTCATGTGTTGGTCCGAAGAGCTAAGGAAATTAATGATTTTGTGGTATTGCTCGAAGACCCACCATAATTTTTACATAATCTTTTGTAGTCTGATAAGGAGCAGGTTAATCCAAATTGTTTTGCTGTGCTTTTGGGTTTTTAGTTTAGTTTGGATGTGTCTTAATTTTTTTCATTGACAAAATTATTGCAATATAATAATTAAATCCTAGCTAATAAAGTAATTTATGACATCTCCCCTTCTAAACCTACTAATGATACATTTAATATAAATTTTAATGAGAAAATGAACCCATAATTAAAGCATAAAAGTATATTCTCTTACTGACTAAGCAAATTTTCTTCTTTAATTATTTCATGACTAATCTTCTTCCATAAACATTCCACCTGGTTCTCAAGAGTTGCATAAAACTATGCTATATATGGATGCTCAAATGCACAAAAGGAAGCACTAAAATAATCAAAAGAAAAAAAGTAAAGGAAGTGAGAATTTTGACAGTGGAGTCAGACCCTGATTATGTTAACCAGGATACCTCGCAGTCAATGAGATTTCACAGGCGATAATTGAGAGAAAATTGTATTGATTTTCTTTGGAGGAAACGAAGAGATCTGCGACCAATTTCACCTCCAATTTACAGAAAAACATCAATCCATTAGTTATTCAAGTATGCAAATCCGTGGAGAGAAAAACTAATATAAATGTTAATAAATTCATGGCGAGTGGGTGGCTGGGGGCTCTGTTTGAGTTCTCTTTGTTGTTCTAAAAAAAAGTCATGGCGAATGCAATGTTAGATGGCCTTCGAATGTTTTAGTCTCATATCATTACTTAATACGCATCACGTGCAAAGCACGTGTTACATACTAGTCTTTTTAAGAACTTATTGATATACAGATAAACATTCAACATATAAACTGTGGACACTTCAAAAAATAGAGTGGAAGTAGGAGTAGATATTTGATATGTCATTAGGAAGAAACAGTTGGAGTAGATTATCACTAAGAAGCAGCAGCAGCAGCAGCAGTAGCATCAACAACAAAGAGCAACAATAAGTAAACAACACAGCCAGCAACTATTCTCTTGTAGTTCTGATTGATTTGTAAATTTTACTTTGTGATGCAGTTCCTATTATTCAGACTTGTTCTTCAGTTGATTACACCTTTGGGATCCCGGAAAGCATCGTAATCACTTTTTACTTTTATTTTTTAGCCTTCGAGTGCCTGGTCATATGTAAGATAAAACCAGTCATTTACTAGTTTTGTTTTGAGGGATACACTGTCTTCTTGCTTTATGTATAGAAAAAAAATTCAGGTTCTTGATGGTGTATACCTAGAGGAATATGTTTTCTAGTTTTTAATTTTCTATGATACATGTCCATACATAACAGCTTTTTAGGGTATTTTAAATATCTACTTACCTTCAAAATTATATACAAGATAGATCATAGAGATGTTGTGCCTCTTTATATCAGCTAATTACTTCATACATCATTTAAAAAGATCTCACACCTAATATCTATATACTGATTGTGGTAAGGTTGATGTTGTTTTGTCATCCATCCCTTGTTGGATCTTTGTTCTCAAGTATTTAAAACTAGTCACGCAATGAAAGATTTTGCTACATATTTATTCTTTCTATCTAGTGATGTTTTTCTCCTTCCATTTTTCTTAAACTCCAGATATGAGATGGCAGCTGAGTATGCTGATGATGATGATGAAAAGACGGCGATTCTTGATCTGAGAAAAGCTACCCTGGAGGAGCTAAAACTGCATGATTCAGTTATGAAAGTATGTTTTAACTTTATACAATATAGAGGCAGTTCAGTTCTGTAGCATTTATTTCGTATCTGCATTTTAAGGATCTTGGGTATTGTGCTGTGTATGCTTATATTGCTGATAGGTGCACTAAAGAATGCAAAACTGTAAATATTAGGAGAAGCTTCTATATGATGCAGCATGACCGTTTTCTTAATGACTTGAATTAACATATGGTCTTTAGAGGTTAATGACTTTTAGTATGAAAAAGGTTTCTTGTTGTTAACATGAAAATAGCTACCCGTTTGTTATAGAACACTAGGTTTCTACAAGCCATTTGCATGATTAACTCTAGCTATATGATATCTATCATACTATTATTTAGAATCATTTTCTGTATGAAAAAATTGGATTGTCATATTTATATTTTGTCGAACATTTTGTCTGTGACAATGTTATCATGTTTATTTATCAAAAGGATATTCATAGGATTTTTGAAATTAATCACAATTGTTCTGTTGCACTTTTAGATTTTCAGGTTCATTTACATGCAAAGGAAAAGTCAGTGACTCAGTATATTCAATACATGTATTTTGCAAACGAATAAATAATATATTGCTGCCTTTATTCTAGATTTTGTTTGAATCATGAAATTTACATTTCATGTTTTATGTTGGAAAGCTATCATTGCGTTCAAGCTTCTAATATCACTAGTTTTTAATAGTACCTGGTTATTGTAATCGTCTAATTGCTCAGTGTATGGTTCAGTATTGAGTATTGACTTACCATAATTTGATTTCCTTCTGCACTTGTAAGAATAACAATTTTTGTTACATGTATGATGTACAGCCTTTATTATGTGAAATAAGAAATAGTCATAGATGTAAATCTGCTAGCACCACGGTCTTTATTATGTGAAAATAAGAAACAGTCATGGATGTAAATCTGCTAGCACCCCGTACTTATACCAAGAACTAGGATGATGCTGAGATACCTGTCATTAATGTTGAAGGTCTAAAGCTGTTCTTATATCTCATGACAGTGCTTAGCAATGTTGAAGAAGCTGTTCTATATCTCATGACAGTGCTTAGCATAAACTCTTTCTATTGGTTTTAGAACCTGAGAAGCTATGGGTTAGAGGTCACAACAAAAATCGGTCGGTGTAGTCAGGGGTATTTGGTTATATTGTGTTGAAGTCTGCACTTTACATTAAAAATTGATCGGTTTAGCAAAGAGTATTTTGTTATATTGTGTTGACATGTGCACAATGTGCACTTTATCATTAAAGAAAAAAATGCCAGGAGTCCCGAATCCCATGTGTATTCAGTGTTGCTAATGATAACTCTTCTCCCAAAATGTGTCAGCGACAACTGTGCACTGCAATTAACAACTTTCTATTTTTGAACCTCTCAAGTAGAAACCTTTACCACATTGTAGCGGTAGGTCTTGTGAAACCATCATGAGCCTTGAACAAACACAGTTGAGAATGTTTTATTCCACATCCATTAAGAGTCAGTAAATGACTTTCTTTTGCACTTCAGATGTTAGTGTCTCTCTCTGTCGGTGTCATGTGTGTACATGTTCTGTCTTCTTGAGTTACTTTCGTTTAGATTTGTTGTATGATTCATGATCTTGTTCTTTTGGTGGGTGGACTTAACTGTAGGGATTGCCTGAACTTACTGGATTCTTTGAAACCAAGGGTACTTATGTTTAGCCAGTACCTTCTTATTCTTGCAATTTTTGACGTTAATCATGGGTACTTTAGAAACAGTTGCAAAATTTTCGAGCAACAATAGATAGTTTCTGTAAAGTTCTTTTAAGAAATCAATTATGCAGGAATGGGGTGTTGATCCAAACAAAGAGATAACTCCCAATCCCGCAACACTTAAGTATACAGAGTTTGTGCTTGCAACAGCTAAAGGAAAAGTTGATGGAGGTAAAGGCCCTGGACAGATTGCCACTCCTTTTGAGAAGACCAAAATTGCTGCTTATACAATAGGCGCTATGACCCCTTGCATGAGGCTCTATGCTCACTTGGGCAAAGAGCTTCAAATGTTTCTTTCTCATGATGGAAGTGATCATCCCTACAAGAAATGGATCGAGTATTATTCATCCAAAAGTTTTGAGGTTTGTTGATATGTTAGGCAATTTCTCCATATTTTTTCCTCGTACAGGAGCATCACTTATAGAACAATTTATGTGAGTGTATTGTTGTGTTTGCTAATACTATGCCCTTTTCTTCTCAAATCTGGATGGTTACAGGCAGAAGCTGTCCAAATAGAGGAATTGCTAGACAAATTGAGTGTTCCACTGACCGGAGAGGAGCTTTCCTTGATAGAAAAACTCTACCTTCAGGCTATGAAACTTGAGACCGAATTCTTTTCTGCTCAGCCAATTGCTCAACAATCTGTAGTTCCGTTGACAAAACTAAATGATCCGATAGAACACCTTTCCATATTTTCTGATTTTGACTTGACATGTACCATAGTCGATTCTTCCGCGATTTTAGCAGAGATTGCAATTCTAACTGGAGCTAAGGTTGACCAGGGTGTTACTGATGCAAAAAAGATTTCTTCAGATATGAGAAGCTCTTGGGATGCACTCTCAAGTAAGTATACTGAGGAGTATGAAGCTTGCATTGAGGGCTTACTTCCAAAAGAAGAAGGTAACCACATTTTATCTTTTATGCTACATCGTTAGTTGTCAGAATTTGGTAGATAATTTATTGATGCAAAGGATTTCTTTGGGAAGGCAGCTTGCTTATATAAGGAATTTGATTATGAACATCTATATAAAAGTCTTGAGCAGCTTGCCAACTTCGAAAAACGTGCGAATACGAGGGTTGTTGACTCAGGAATGCTAAGAGGGGTAAACTTAGATGACATAAAAAGGGCAGGGGAACATTTGAAGCTCCATGATGGGTGTAAAGATTTTTTTCAGAAGATTGTAAAGAAGGAAACACTGACAGTCAATCTTCATATTCTCTCATATTGTTGGTGTGCAGATCTTATAAGGTCTGCCTTCTCATCAGGTAAGATTTTGTACTTTTACAACCACGATTGTGTTACTTGTTTATAAAATAGGCTTAATAGCCTTGTGCTGCTTATTTTTGTCCTTTGATCGTCTAAAGTAATAAGCTTGCGCAAAACAACAAAGGAAAAGAGAAACCATGAACTTATCTGTTACTTTGGTATCTTCCATCAGAAAGCAAAATTTATACGGTGATTAAGTAATTTATTTATTAATAAGTGAAAGATCATTTTGTAAATGTAGTTACAAACTGCGCTTCTAAAATTTGTTAATTATATAAAGAAAATTATTGTTTCTCGGCAACGTATTGTTTTACATGCAGATTAGGCCTGTCTTTTGTAAGTATTTTTAAAGCTTTCTTCCTTTTATTGCGCATGGCGAGTTTTATGTATGTGTTCTGATGTCAGAGTTTTGACTACCCTGATTAGGAAACAATTGAAATCAACCTAGTTATAAACTGTACCTAGATAGCGACTACAGTCGATTTAAGGTTTTCTTAACTTAAACATATAGGCCGAAAAAGCCACTATGCATAGAATCTAGTTTTCTCCAATAGGTGATTGAAAATGAGGGGGAAAAAGGAACTCATAAATGAGGTAAGACTAATAGCCACTTTCTCGTATTCACCTCCTGTATTTGAACAGCTGAACACCATCACTTATCTCCCGCAGCCACAAATTTTTAACAAAGTCTTTAAAAATATTGGTTGAACTCTCTTTCAACCTTTTCAATGTTGAGTTGACCGTGGGAGGCCGACGAAAAGTCCGCTACTTAAATAGGTTCTAAGCTTAGTAATAGATTGTAGTCCACCTGATTTAGTTGCTTGTTAAACTTTAAAAAGTAAAGACTTTATAAAGTGATGTCCGATCCTATACAGAACTGTCACTAGCGCCTACAAGGTGCTGCATGATTTTTTCGCGTTGTAGTATATTTAGCAAACTTTAGATGCTGCCTTCAGAAGTTCATACAACATCTTGACCTGACCATAATGCAACTGTGGCCTTGTTGACTTAACATATTTTATGACATTGAATGCCTAGGAAACCTTCCCTGTTTCTTTCCTCCAGCTATCAAAAAGAAAAAAAATGCCATTAAGAGAATCACACTTTTTTGTCGTGTCATGTGAAAGCAACTTCATTTATCTAATTGGTTATGGTATTCTTATCGGTACATATTTATTTTTGTTGCCATTCTTGTATATAACCGTGTTGTATTACTTATTTCTCCAGTGGGCTGTCTCAATGAACTTTCCATACACTCGAACGAATTCAACTTCGAGGGGTCCATTTCAACAGGAGAGATCGACATAAAGATGCAGTCACCGCTCGACAAGGTCGAAGCTTTTACTAACGTCTTGAATCAGAACAGCGGGGACAAACATTTATCTGTCTACATCGGGGACTCAGTTGGCGACTTGCTCTGTCTATTAAAAGCTGACGTCGGTATTGTTGTGGGATCAAGCGGAAGCTTAAGGAGAGTTGGGAGGCAGTTCGGTGTTACTTTTGTTCCACTCTTCCCTGGTGTTGTAGCTAAGCAGAGGGAAGGCTCCAGATGGAGAGGTTTATCTGGCACTCTCTATATGGCTTCAAACTGGTCAGAGATACAGGCTTTTGTTTTGGGAGCATAAAAAATTCTTTTAGTCATTCAGTATTCTTCCCTTGTTTTTTACTTGCAAGATATTAGGCATTCTTGTATACCAGAAGGTATAGGTACTAATCTTTGGCTCATTTTAAAAGAAGCCACAATTCAACTGCCGCTTAGTGTCATCCTCCTATTTGCTTTGAAGTGAAAAGATATGTAGTCTTCCAGCTGAGTTCAGGTATCTTCGACTAACTATAATGTGCTTTTATGTCCAGTTCTGATTTGCCGTGTTTTACAATAGTTGATGTTTACATTATCTGCAGGATTTGATGACATCGTAGGCAACGAGCAGAAACTATCAGTAGCTTTGATCTCATGCATGTATTGGTCTATACTTCCTTTTCCCTTGAACATAACTAGGCATTCCCGTGAGCAATTTGTCATGTAATCAATTGTATGAAAGGATTAGAGAATGTGGAAAATGTATAAGTTTCTAGCTGAGGGGACTCGTAAAGATGTTATAAATTGGACTTGAGAGTCTCAATGCGGTAGCTCAATTTGATTGTTTCTTCAGTAGCAAACCTGATCATTAAAAATGCTCAATTGTAAATGTGACTACTATACATATTCTGTCATGAGCTTGAGTTCTTGAGATGAATTTGTTTTTCTTTTTCCCTCTGATCTGTGACAAATTTTTCTTGTTGATTCTTGTGCTAAGTGCCCAGGCTATTGTCCTTTATTTCGATGTGCTTCCTAATGTTAGGAGAAATTTATTGTTCGTTAAACCTTGTGCATTTTGTTCAGAAATAATTTGTCTGATCTGTGACAAATTTTTCTGATCTGTGACAAATTTTTTTTTCCCTTCTTTTAAAAAAACACGTGTAGCAATAATATAGGTCAAATAACACGTGTCAGAAATAATTAGAACAATATGGTAGTCACTTCCTTGTTGAATGTGTTAGCCTTTAGTAGAACTGACGGGAAGAGAAGCGTACGATTCATGTAGTGGGAGTTGAAATTAATTTTACCATGAACACTTTGTTTTATGTATCACCCAACCATATGAGACAAAATTAGACACCAAGTTCATCACAGCGGCAATACAGAAATCTTTCTGGGGTATAATTCCACATTTATTAGACACTTTCAACCCGTAGAATAACAATCTGACTATTTATCAACGAACATCACTTTGATGCATCCCCTCTCGACGCCGAAACCATCCAGCGACCGGCGAACTACATATATCAAATCCTTCAGGGCGCACAAAAGACCCAACTGAACATTTGGAAAAACAACAACAACAACAACGTGACGGATTAAAAAACACACACACACACACCATATAATCATCTTTGAAGCCAAAGTTCGAGCTAGCTCCGACCATCAAGTGCTTTCGCTCATGGCCAAGAGAGTTGAGATGTTAACAGGGTTCATGTACTCATTGGAACCTGTCATGAACTGGCTCACAATCATACGGTTCGCCTTCTGCGAAGGATGGTATGCATCCCAAAACGCATACAAGTCTCTGTTGGGACAAAGGTTAGATGCCACGGTGCACAGTCCAAGCCCATTGTATGGTCCTTGTCCGCAACATGCCACCTTTGATGTCACAAAGCCTGCAACAAAGTTACAAGTACTGTTTACATCTCATAAACTGTTTTATTAGCGGTGTTGCGGGTTTAGCTAGCTACTTATTACGGCGATACTGCTTTTCCGCTGGTTTCTAGACTCCTGTGGGATCATGTGATGGTCAGGTCAGCGTTAGACATTTAATTACCCAAAAAAAAAAAAAAAAACGTTTTCACGTGATTTTTCATGAGAATAAAAAACTAGCAAGGATAGGTAGAATATCGATCAAATCAAGAAGCGCACGCGCTAATGAGAGTTGTTACCGTATGCTTGGGGGTTTGCTATGAAGTCCATATGTGATTTCCTAGCGTTCGCCGCGGTAAAAACTGTGGACCCAAACTGTGAATTGAGTTCGTTTATGATCTGAATCAGCGCAGGATTGAACAGGTCCCCAGCTCTTTGTAGTTCCGGATCACAGCTCCCATCGCGGCTCTTTTCAGCCAGCGAAGCCGGCACGCAACCCATCGGCCCGGTTCCGGTCACCAGAACCTGGCGAGCTCCGAGCTCGTACAGCCTCTGCAATTCAAACGTTTTGGATCAGTTGCGGCTATTTGTTTCGTTAAACTAACAAAAATGCAGTACGTCGTGATTGTGGTGGCAAAAGTACATGCGGATGACCTGCGCGGTTGCGTAACTCACTGATTCTTTAAGATTGGGCTAATAATATTGCAGATTAATTTGGAACTAACTAATCCTCAATAGAAGCTTGAAAAAACACTGATAAAAACAAACCCCTCCCGCTACAAACCGCAGTATGCTCCCTATAAACTATGCCCAATTTTTTTAATTTGACGCCCAAATCTTCATACTTGTAAACTGTACCCCCAAATATTCATATATATTCATGATGAGAGAGTTATTATTTAAACAGCCTAATGGATTTGGGAGTGTACATTATATACGAGGAAATCCAAAAAAAAACCGAACCAAACAATTGCAAGCATCGCTCTCTGCGTCGGTATTCACAGCGGATGTGGCTGCATCCCACTGAGCCAAACAATTGCAAGCATCGCTCTCTGCGTCGGTATTCACAGCGGATGTGGCTGCATCCCACTGAGCGATCTCTATCTAGTTTAGTCAGTTCGTGAGAGAAACATACCGCGAGAATCTTCTTGTACTCGGATATGATGTAGGTGACGTAGTCCGGCAACGAGAACTGACGGGATCGTGCAGAGTACGGAACCAGGTAATAGTTGTTGACGAAGTCATTGCCGCCGAGAGTAATCAACACCAGAGCCTTGTTCACCAAACGCTTCGCCTGCGCTTCTCCGACCAAAGAACTCAGCCTCTGCTGATACTGCCTGAAGTTCTCGAGCTGCTGTGATATCCTGATGATGTTTATCTGCATTCATGCAGCGCGCGTCAGCTTATCAGTAGCTAAACAAAGCTCTACGTACGTACGAAGTTGGGATGAAAGAATGGGTTTACGAATTGGATGCCGGTGTCGTTTAGGATTCCGATCCCTGCCGAGGCGAAATTGGCGCCGACCAGCAGCTTTTGCCCGCGGAGGTCGGGGCTCAGGTACGGCAACGTGGGCTCCGAGCCGAGGTGTTCACCTGACCATCGTTCAAAACTCAAAAGGTTAATTAACGGCGTCATTCCCAAATGTTGGGGTTTATCCGAAAATAAATTCATAAGGGTGCAAAAGTTTTGGGTGCCTGAGTGACATTTCCAATTTCCTTGGGGGGTTATCGGAAATGGGCCAAACTTCTTCGGTTTTTTTTATAAAAAAAGTTACACCCCTAGACTACTCAACGGAGTTGTATTTGATCTCAAAAAGAGAGAGAGAGAGATCTCTGTGCAACGCAATGAAGCTGCAGTGAAATGACATGAGATACAGATAGCAAAAAAAGATATAACTCCCATCTGAACAACAACACAAATTAAGGTCGGACTAATTAAGTGGCTTGAGTCCCTGTAGTAACTCAACTGATGACGTCGGGGATGTTGAGCCCGTTGGAGAACCGCCCAGTTGGGCGATGCGTCGGATAATCGATCCCATAAGGAGGCGAGTCAGCACGAGCCGTGGTGGCCAGATAATTGTTGTTTCCGTTGTCGACGAGAGAATCGCCGAACACGAAGAACGCGCGTGCAGCCGAAGTGGTCGATATGTTGCTTAGGATCACCAGAGACACAACGGAGAATATGGAGATGATACTAGAAGTGTTGGCCATCGCTGCTGCTGATGATGATGATGGAAGGGAAGTTGTGTGCAGTAGTAGAAATTGTGATCCTTTATATAGTGGTCATTGTGAGTAAATTAAAGGATGTGGTTGGGTTTTGATATTGAGGTTGTGATTGAATCTTTGAAGGCGTGGGCCTCAAATTTAATGCAATTTTCTCTCGTGTGTCACTCGTACTGATTTTTTAGGTTGAGATTGAAGTTGATAACATGTGAAATATTTCAATGAGGGAGAGGTTCTAGAGGAAATAGATGCATCTAACTTCTACCTCTCTTTCACCCTTCCCGTTATTATCTGACTGTTACCTAGCTTGGGGAGGAATTGTGATTCATTCTTAATACAAGTCGTACCGCATTTTTTTTATAAATCGTGTTAATGCTCACATTTTACTCTCGATAAATTATAACCGAGAAATAATAGAGGGTTATAATTAAGGAAATGGTTTTTTCCTTGTTGCTTTACTATGTTGTCGCGTGACACCACTTCCCCTAGGGCAAATCCTTTAGTTGTTTACGTGAATGTATAATTTATCGTATTTCTCTTTTCTTATTTTGTCTTTTAGGAAAACTCTTTGTACAAATACCAAATTAGCATGGTCCCCGTAATTCAATTGCTTTTACCTTTTCATTTTGCCTTTTATTGTTTTAAACATTTACACATGTTGACAGGATTTCTATATATTTAAAATTCATTAATTTCCTTCGAAGAAGAGAAGAATCAATTTATTTAGTGTATTTGAAAGTGTAGCGCAATTCTGGTAATGTATTTGGAGTTGCTTTTGAGTACAGTAACGATTAAGTTGATAATGATGTATTTTATGTTATTAGTACATCTATGCACTTGGGTCCAGACACAATAGTGCACTTGATACTGTCACCAATGATGCGATTTTTTATTTTCTTTTTCCAAAATATGAAAACTAGTCACTCTTGTAGATTTTTTTTTTAATTACTACCGTAGCGACATATGCCACTGTTACCAACAACGATTATGATTCTTTTTAAATATAACTAAGACCATGTACCTTGTAAATTGTAATTATTCTTACTTTTTTTTTGTTAAAATATACCCTAATAATCTTTCTCGTGAACTTGTAAGGGATTTTAATTAACATAATGGAGAGAAAGAGCAGCATGGTTATTTGAATCTTGGAGCTACTAATTCACTGACCATCCAATTCGGGCCTCTATTTAATGCAGTGAGCATGCAATTAATGATTCAATGAACCACCTCCTCAAATAGTATCACTCTGAACTCACTTTTGAGGCTACTAAATGAATGATCCTTCTCTGTGCAGTCTGAATAATATCTGCAAGTTTCTCTTGTTTGTTTCGCTTACTTTTCTGCAGGGTCTCTGCAGTGAGATCACAAGTACAGACTTGCAGGTAAAGTATATTCTTCCAGTAGCCCAGAGGCAAATTGTGGACGGACCCCTTTTAGTTTCTACCGTTTAATTTGGACTTACTACTGTTGGGGATTCGAAACAATCAAATCGAATCTGTGCCCTTCCGGACCCTGTGTTGGGAGTAGTAAAGTAGGAAAAATCACCACAAATAAAAGATAAAACTTACAGAAAAGTAAACAAGAAAGAACACATCAGATTTAACGAGGTTCGGCAACGTGCCTACGTCCTCAGGAGCCACACCACACAATTCTTTGATTAATTGAAGAAGATTACAATGCTCACAATAGGCCTCTCTCACTCTAAGAAATTTGATCTCAAAGAGCTGTCAAAAGCCTTTATTTTTCGTGTCTTATAGAACCCTAAAACATATAGGAGTATATATAGAAGTCTGGGTGGAAACAGAATCCCAAACAAAACAGGAAACCTGAAAAACCCGATTTCGGTCGATCGGACAATGTGTTCGGTCGACCGGACAAAGTGTTCGGTCGACCGGAGAGAGCGCCAATTTTCTACAGGGTCTTGTGCACCTTTTCGGTCGACCGATCCATCACCTTCGGTCGACCGATCCATTACCTTCGGTCGACCGGATGACCGCTCTCGGTCGACCGGATGACCGCTCTCGGTCGACCGACATCAAGCTTCGGTCGACCGGCCAGAGTGACATCTTCTCCTCAGTTTTCTATAGGGTTCGCGGTCGACCGGATATCCTCCTTCGGTCGACCGACCAACGATTTAATTGTTTCCTTCTTCTTTTGATTCCAGCTTTGGGTCTACCTCACTTAGACTAACAACTACATGCTTAGTTTACTTGTTGCACTTAATCCCCTGAGTGCCTTTTTTTTAATGAAGAACTCTCTTGGGATCTACATGCAACTATAAAACTTGAGGGGTACCGAGCTCAAAATGACGCTACTATAGAGGATACTGAAAATTCTATAGAAATTATGTGTAGCTCCTACACTCTGACATTATCTCCGATGATGATCATGGGGACATAGAAAATATATACGGATACGAGGTGTTGTGTGCCGTGCGGAAGCGTGCTCGACAACCAAACGAGTCGGTGAGCGATAAGAGAAGAAAACCAAACCAAATACGAGTGCAATTCACTAAAATACCACATAAATCAAACCAACACAGATATTTACGTGGTTCAACAATTGCCTACGTTCACGGGGAGAGGATGAGGAGATTTCACTATATGGAGGAGAAATACAACGGGTTATAACTCACAAAATCACTCAAATATAATTCTAACCAAAGCTCTCAACTCCCTCACAATATCTCACTCTCAAAGTGCTCAAAAGACTGTTAATTCTCTCCTTAAGAAACCCTAAAAAACTGTTGTGACTGATGCTTTGAGAAACCAAACCAACGAACGCCGAGAGAAAGACCAAACAAAACACAAACACCAAGGTTTTACGTGGTTCGGCAAATTGCCTACGTCCACGGGGCAAGAAGGGGGTGGGTTTTCACTAATAGAGAAGGAGAGTACAAATTGAGATTACAAATCGCTCAAACGAACCAACTAATCTCACCAACAAATCTCTCAATCTCTCAACCAATAACCCTAACAAATAGCTCAGAAAGATCTCTCTTTTTCTGTGCTCCAAAACCCCAAAACTCTCCTCTCAAAACCCTCAAATCGTATTGGTATTTATACCAAAACAGAAACCCAAACAGACTGCAAATAGGAACCTGAACTTTCCAAAAAACCCGTCATAAGTCGACTTATCAGTCTGCATAAGTCGACTTGGCAGAGCGAAAAACAGCAACTGGAGAAGAGATCATAAGTCGACTTATCAGACCTGATAAGTCGACTTGGCAGAGCAAAAAACCAACAATCCAGAGCAGAACGTAAGTCGACTCATGCACCAACATAAGTCGACTTACCATAAGTCGACTTATGCCTGTGCATGAGTCGACTTATGACCAAAAATCTGCTTTTTCCAATTCTTCTCCACAATTCTCCACCTCGGCGAAGTTTTCCCAAAACTGAGCCGACACCAACCAAACAAATGCCTCACATGCTGAGACCCAAATGAGAGTGCGAACACTCACCCCAAATGTCGATGTCGCTCACCAAATCGGCTGCATCAAAATGACTGCCTACGTATCCTTTGCCCAAGGAATCAAGCCTTCACGTAGTTCACCCAAACGGCCTCCAAAGGCCCTCAATCAAATAGAAAAGTCTGCAACTCTTCTCCAATATCACCAAACGATCTGCAACTGATAGTATTCCCAATGACCCCAAATTGAGACAAATCAAACACCTCCACCTGAGGTAAACCAATGGCCATATCCAAACTATATCTACCAGCTGCAACTGAATCCAAAACCAATCCATCATCTGCATCCAAAACCAAATGATCTCCAACCTGTGTCACCTTAGCTGGAATCCCAAATGACGCAGTATGATCTGGAGTATGTGGAGTAATCTCCACCCAACGTGGAGTAGCATCACTCTCCACCTGCTGCGATATCCAAATGACCTGATCAACACTCTCCACCTGCCGAGAGTCAAAAGTGACATACCTGCTCAGAACAAAATCAGAAGCTCCCAAACGATAATCAACTGAGCCTCCGAACCCCAAACGCGCAATCGGATCCAATCTCACATCCACGATGTGACCAAATGCTGGGTATCCAAATATCCGACGCGACCCAAAATCTGAAGCAGCTCCACCAGATCTAATAACTCCTAAAGCAGCAGTCGGCGACCTATGCATAAGATGACCCAAATATGTCGAAGCCCGCACACCAATGCCAATGCTCGACATCAAACGCCGATCCTCCTCCAGAAAGGAACGACCCATCGAAACTGTCATCTCATCTCGTCGCCCCAAAGTCTCCACACCAATGAAGTGTCTCCTATTGCCGTGAGCTCGGCACCAACGCAAGAAAGGACCCCTACCAAAGCTGAAACAATGAGTTACCTTTCTGCCAATACACTTCTTCCAATTGTTGTTGACTTCTAGGACTTTACACCAACGGGAACTGGTCGCGACCCAATAATGCCTAGAACAATCACCAACTGTGGAAACCAAGATACGATTACCTCCCAATGATGCCTCCTTGGAAGGCCCCCAAATGCCTGACTGAACACCTCCAAAAAGACCCCTCGCTCGATGGATAGAAGTGCCAAACTCCACCACGGTCTCGCTCATCCTAATGTGCTCACAGGACTTCAATCTGCAGGTCATAGCACTCCTCAACAACCAATGCACGGTATTACCAATCATATACCCCAGCACCAAACAATGCCACAGTCTAGCCGAATCTGATGAAGTCGTCATTTCCCTATCAATCACCGTGCTTCCGTGCAAATAATACAAATTTCTTCTTCTGACGCCCTTCATCACAATCATGGACCCAAATGTAACCTTCAAGCGTGCATCCGCCAAGGTCACCCTATAGCCAGCTGCCTCCAAAGCTCCAAGTGAAATGATGTTCTTCTTCAACTGAGGAACGAACCTCACTCCAACCAACTCCCGAATCACCCCGTCACTCATCCTGATCCGAACAGTACCAATACCACCAATAGAGCATTTGTGATCATTCCCCATGAGCACGAAATCCCCTCTTTCCAACTCCTGAAAGCTGGAGAACCAATCCCTCCTAGGGCAAATGTGGTATGTAGCACCCGAATCCA